ACGAATTGGCCGTGGTGGAAAGATGGCACGTGGGCGCTAATATTGTTCTTATGATTAGGAAGGTGGTCGTTCTAGGCGGCAGAACTGTGGGCCCCCACATTTTGTTCCTCTAATCATTTTGTTTTAATTTAAATAAGAAAAAATAGTCAATTTAAATAATTTAAAAAATCCGTGCCTATTTTTTATTAGCATTTTTAGAAAAGAAATCGAGAGAGTTTTATTGTGTGTGGTGTCTCAGAGAGAAACAATAACTCCAATTATTTTATTAAAACAGAATTCGTCATGCAATCTAATAACCTGAAAGAACGAGGCCAACGACAGCTTCTGTGTAAGTTCTACAGATCGAAGGAAAATATAAGATATATACATGTATCTGCAGGTGCTACCATCTAAGATTCTGGTAATAATCAGACAACAGGAAATCAAATCAACGCACAAAATGGCAAAACTAAAACTGATAAGATGGAGACGAAAGCAGAACGGCGTGGGATTCGGTTCATCAAGGGGAAAACCCATGATCGAAGTTGAGAGAATAGCTGCGCAAGTCATAACTGAACCGCATGCTGCTGCTTCTTTGCCTCCACTGTGACTTCACCTTCAAAACAAACTGTTTCAACACACAACTTGGCTTTCTCTGCAGAATGAAATATCTGACACCATTCTCATGGTTTGCTACTTTCTTTTCCCGCTTCAACAACTGAATTCTCTTCAAGATTTGCATTGTCTCAGAAATTTTGAAACCGGAGAGCTTGCAAGGTAAGCAATGAGGGCAATAAGATATATGTAAATATAGGTTCCATAAAAGCATGAAATGCTGAGCTTTTTTCATGCATCTATTCGGTTCCTACGAGAAAAGAGTTTACCTAATGTTCTTTCCACTTTGATTTGCTATCATTCCTATGTCATCCATTATCTGAACTTGGAGAAAAGGGGATGGTGAGCAGCACATTTGTGTTTGGTTGGTGGTGAACTTTCTAGGAAGCATCTATAATTAAAGTAAGAAAGGCAGAGGGAGATTCAAAAGTTAATGCCTTTGCCTACCTAAGTCTGCTTTACTAGTGCCGAAAGCAGAGGAAAAGGAATGCCTTATTTGTCAAAAGCCTTGTTATCACTTGATTTGGCTAAAGGTAGGGGTGATCACGAGTCAAGTCAAAAAATTTTGAGTTATTTAAGTTGGTGAGTCATATTTTACAACTCAAAACTTAACTTAAAATTTTTTTTAGTCAAGTTTAAGAAATTTGAGTCGAATTATTTGAGTCGAGTTATTCGAGTTTTTATACTAATTTTATTATAATTATTTATAATATTATGGTAATATATTGTTCCAATTTTTTGATTTCATCTAACCATATATATATATTCTTTCATATTATAATCTCATTTAATATATCAAATACAATATAAAATTATGAAATATATTCATAATATTATATTTAAAAAAAACATTTTGAGGGTAAAATATTGATAAGGGTATAAATGAGTCAAAGAATTGATGAGAATAAAGAATTTACAAACAATTGTAGTCAAAAGACCAAATTGAGTAAAATGCAAAGTTAAGGGACTAAATAAAAAAAGAGTACATCTTTTTAGTTAAAAAAATAGCAAATGAAGTTACATATGTATTCTATTGTGGTATATGGACATGTGGTTTAAATTTGGTAAATAACATACTCAAAATAAATGACAAATTGAAAGAATAAGGAGATTATGAAAAATTAAGACTAAATTGAAAAATAAAAAAATTGTTATCAAAAAGAGGAATTGAAAGTACACATGTATTCTACTATGATTTAAGAGCATGTGGCTCAAATTTGATTAAAAAAATACCTAAAATAAATGACGAAATGAAGAAATAAAGAGATTATAAAAATTAAAGGACTAAATTGGAAAATAAAAAAATTGTTACAAAAGGAGGAATTGAAAGTACACATGTATTTGACTATGGTTTAGGAGCATGTGACTCAAATTGGTAAAAAAAGACTTAAAATAAATGATGAATTGAAGAAATAAGGAGATTATGAAAAATTGAAGGACTAAATTGAAAAATAAAAACTTGTTATCAAAAAGAGGAATTGAGAGTAGACATACATTCTACTATAGTTTAGGAGCATTGGTTCAAACTTGATAAAAATAGACTTAAAATGAAGGATGGATTTAAGAAATAATGAAATCAGTGACTAAATCATAGAACTGTTTAAATACTTAGTCAAATTTTCAATTTTTCGAGTAACTCGAAAAGTCAAAATTTCAACTCGACTCGAATTCGAAAATCGAATTTATAATTTGAGTTGACTCGAATAACTTGAAATTAAAAAAAAAAACTACTTTTCGAATCAAGTTTTGCCCATCCCTAAAAGGATCAAAAATATCTTGAAAATATTTTAGACCAATTTTACCTAGCATACATTTTGATAAAGTATGAAAGTAGATTGTTAGTTATGTGAGATGTCATCTAGTAGGGATAGGGTAATTTTTCTTTCTTTTATACTCCTATTAAATACCGTCAATTATTAATTGAGAAAATAACTTCGGTGACAAAAAATGTCTTATAATATACGATTTTAACCAACTTTTTTTGGATTTACCAAAATGACCAACTAAATCGCAATGCGATCGATAATTCGCAACGCGATCTCCGGTATCGCAAATCAGTTTCCAGATTCGCCACGCGAACTTCGACTATCGCATTGCGATTTACATATTCGCATTGCGATAGTCCAAGTTCGCGTTGCGATTTATTCCAAGTTCGTTGCGATTTATTCCAAATTCGTTGCGATTTATTCCAAGTTCGCGTTGCGATTTATTCCAAATTCGTTGCGATTTATTCCAAGTTCGTTGCGGTAGTCCAAAATCGCAACGACGATATTGCATTTGTTTCTTAAGAATTTTCTCTAAAAAGATAGTATTTGCGCGGACGTGTCGCAGACACATACGACCACGACCACGACCACGACCACGACCACGACCCGAGACGAGACGAGACGGACGGCGGCGGCGGCGGCGCGCGAGAGTCCCCCTTGTTCTCTATCACTCAACAAGGAAGTGGGAAAGCCAAGCCTTAAATACCATTCCCAATAGTGTTTCTAATACTATGTGGGATTGAGCATTACCAACACTTGTTCCCAATACTATGTGGGATTGAGCCTTAAATAGTGATATTATTTTTGAATGTTTTGCTTAAAATTGCAATAATCGCGATTGATTGTAGATTGACATTTAATTATGACATATTTAATCGTATAATACTAATGCAATTGGTTGCTGATTCAGTTGTTTTAAGGTGCATGATTGTTAATTGTTTCCTGAATAATCACATTGTATTAGAAACAAGTGTTGGTAATGCTCAATCCCACATAGTATTGGAAACACTATTGGGAATGGTATTTAAGGCTTGACTTTCACACTTCCTTGTTGAGTGATAGAGAACAAGGGGGACTCTCGCGCGCCGCCGCCGTCTCGGGTCGGGTCGGGTCGTGGTCGTGGTAATACGTGTCTTCGACACATCCGCGCGAATACTATCTTTTTAGAGAAAATTCTTAAGAAACAAATGCAATACCACCAGTCGTTGCGATTTTGGACTATCGCAATGCGAACTTCGACTATCGCAATGCGAATATGTAAATCGCATTGCGATAGTCGAAGTTCGCATTGCGATCCAAGTTCGCATTGCGATAGTCGAAGTTCGCGTTACGAATCTGGAAACTGATTTGCGATACCGGAGATCGCGTTGCGAATTATCGATCGCATTGCGATTTAGTTGGTCATTTTGGTAAATTCAAAAAAAAATTGATTAAAATCGTATATTATAAGGTATTTTTGGTCAACGAGATTATTTTCTCTTATTAATTAATATCCATTTTCGTAAAGGTTCTTTAATTTGAGAATATTTCTCGGTATTGGTGAGAGGTTTCTTTTAGCCCCCCTTGGTAGTTGACTTGGGACATGTATCTTCTTCTCAAACAGGAATCTGTATTAATCTCAGATAAGTGATTTAGATCTCATTTATTTTTTAGCTGCGGAAAGAGGTTTGAATACTCGCCATAACCAAAAGGCACGAGAAAAATTAAACTACACAAGGGTTTAGCCTAGTTGATTTAAACAAGTTTTGGGTTTTGTTCTGACTATGAAAATTGGTTTATCAAAAAAAAAAAGACTTCAAGGAGGTTTTTGTGATGTTCAAAGTCATCATCATGCTGCTAGGTAATTGTTTAGTTCTACTTGAGCTTAAAAAGGGCAAAGGAAGCATGCTAAAACCGTTGCAAATTGTAAATGAAGACTAGAAATAAGTAAAACAGGATGTACCATTGTCTGATCAAAACACGTCACAAGCAATTGAAAGATAACATCAAAGCCCGTGAAAATCCTTCAGACTATAGCATTGGCGGCACTTGCAATTCTGGGCCACAAGTCGGCGCACTCCTTTCCAATGGGACCCGTGATAGCAGATCCTGAAACACCAAATAAATGGAACCCAAAATGAGTTTTCACATACCAAATCCACCCAACAAGATAACACGACATCACTTTCTTCCACTCAAGTGCAAGCCGATGGGGAGAAGGCATTGATAGAACAAATCTCACAATAACATAACCCTTGGTCATGGCAAAACAGACATCCAGAAAAAGATAATCCATTTATCAGGCTCTAACTTGGAAGCATAGAAATTAGATTTCAAATCCCCATATAATTTAATTGTTTTCCTTTTTGTATCGCCTAAAATTTTAAAATTTTATAAATCTGCCCCTAAACATAAATATCTGTCCCCTATCGATAACAAAGGCATGTTCTCCATCCCAGAATTTAGATAAACCCACAATTAAGCAAGCGCTATTAACGGGATGCGTCAAAATAGAATGAAAATGGGTTGATTTACCTTTCATTTCTCCCTTGGGGTTGACAATAACACCAGCATTATCTGCAAACAGTTAGATAAAAAAACCCAAACTAAGGTTAAAAACAGAACACACAACTAATATTTTTACATAGTAACAACAAAACAAAATATACCAGCAGACAGGTAACACGATGCAAAAGATAAACAAAAGCATCATGCTGTTTAAAACTGGTTATTTCACAACACTCTATGCTTCCCATTAATAGTAACCGGAATGATCAAAACCAGCTACACCATTATTAAAAAGAAGCAACAAAAGATTAATAAAACAAAGATGGGGAAGCGCAGGAATTGTTTGGATTTTGGTTCGACCTTCGAAGTACATGTACACCGTCCTTTCTACGCCAAGGCTTGCGTTGCCGGACGATGACGGCCGGTAACACCTTCTTCCTCAAATCGGGATTTCCCTTTTTGACCGTGGCCATGACCATGTCACCGACGCAAGCCGATGGGAGTCTGTTGAGACGCCCTTTGATTCCCTTGACCGAAATGATGTAGAGGTTCTTGGCTCCCGTGTTGTCCGTGCAGTTGACCGTAGCCGCCACCGGTAAACCCAGCGACATTCTGAACTTGTTCCCCGCGCTACCTCCCCTTAGTATGATACCCTTCCCCTAATATCAATACTTGGGTACTAATACCAAAATAACTTACTAGAACCTAAACAAACCCTCGAGTACCAATATTAGACCCTAGAGTATCGATACCCCTTAAACAATATCGGTATCTCAAGAACAAATATAGATACTCCCACAAAAAATCCTATGATTTTAGCCTTTTTTAAATATCAGTATTAATATTGTTCATGCTAGTACATATACCTTACCCAGAAAACTCTGTTTCTATAGTATACACTATAAATTCCTCTTAGGGTGCGTTTGGTTCACGGAATGTAAGATTACCAGTGGGAATGTAAGATTACCAGGGAATAGGATTACTGGGAATGTTGTATTTTGTATTTGGTTGGCTTAGCAGGGATGTAAGATTACCGTGTTTGGTTAAAGGAATAAAAGATTATTGGAATGTATATTTGACCAAATTGTCCTTATTATATATTTTTATAATATTATAAGTTGGAAAATATTTATATTATTTCTTTAAAAAATTAAATTCATAATATTTATATAATTTTTTTACAAAATTAAAAATATAAAAAATGTTTAATGAAATGGTAAAATTTTATTTTAACCCCTGAACTTTAAATAAAATTTTAATTATAGACTTTTTTTTTGTAAATCTAAAATAATTTAAGGATAAGTTTGTAATTTAACATTCGTATAATTTTTATTATTCAATGACAGAAGAAGAATATTTTTGAAAAAAAATAAAAATTTAAGGGCATTTTAGTCCAAAACACCGATAATCCAACAATACCTAAGAAAAAGGAGGTAATGACATTCCCGGTAATATACCCCAAAAATTCACTATTGGTAATCTTACATTACCAGGAATGAGATTCCCGGGCTAACCAAACAGGAGAATGTGGATTCCATTCCCATGTGAATCCCACATTCCCCCATCCAAACACCCCTTAGGACATTTCCAAGACCCTCAAACGGTGTTTAAGTCTTATTTAGAGTTAAAGGGTCATAAAAGATCATTAATTTAGGCATGAACAACATTAAAGTCTCATTTTTCATGTTATGAATCCAATTCACCTCAAATGCCTCTTGCACACATACAAGCATCAAAACTACACATAATAATCTACAAGCAGTAGAGGGAGTTAGAAATGTGTTACGTTACACCTAAGAGTTGGAGAAATAACCTCAAGCTTACACAAAGACCTTTTTCTTTTTGCCCTTCACCTTTGAGCTTTCACTTACTTCTCTCACTAGTAACCACAAAGGAATAAGTTATTAGCTCATCTAAAAGCTTACTAAAGATAGAAACATGATTATAAACATTAAAAATAAGCTAAAATTACTCTACGGTTTTCAAAACTCAAAACCCCCATTAAATCTTTTCCATGGCTACCACAACCATTTGTGGAGTTAAGAGATAAAAAGAAAGCTCTAAGAATGGTGATTACTTTCCTTACCTTACCAAATTCAAGCTAATATCAAAGGCTTACAAAGCTTTCATCTTTGGCAACCTACAAAAAAGAGGAGAAGACGAGTGTTTTGAAAGGAGGAAGAAGGAAATAATGGAGATGGTGATTCCAACGGGTGACATACGCTTCATAAAAGAAATTCAACCTTTAGAAGACTTTTTGAGAAATTTACAGCTTTAATCCTTACATATTTAACCCCAAATCAAAAATACCCTTTTTATTTCATATTGGGCTCAACCCAAGCCCCATTCATCATACACATAGATCACGTCTCTTATTAACCCATTAGGTTTACCCAACACCCTTTCTAGGGTTAGTCTAAAAGTACTAACTCATAAATTAAGGCGTTATATTGACGTTAACAAATGATATTGAAAAGATAAAATGTCATTTTTAAACATTATGTTATAGATTAAAAAAATCTATCATTTAAATTTATATAAAAAAATATAACATTTAAATTATATTTACACATATTAATACTATGATATGTAAATTATATCAACTTAAAGTATAATAAAAATATTTTAAGATAACTCATTATAATATTTTTATATATAAAATAATTTATTAAGAAAAAATATATTATTAATATTTTAATTATTTTCATTTAATCATTATCATTCATTTAAAATTTAAAATAAAATAATTTAAATGATAAAAAACAAAGATATATATATATATATATATATATATATATATAAAAGATTTAATTAAATCAAATCTGGATCGGGATATTCGATTCGACCCACAAATAAAAGTCATGGGGGACAAGACCTTGGAGCCTAAATTGACACGCTGTTATATTTTCAATCGTTGGATTGAACAAGACCCCACCGATAAGAGAAATCTGTGATTCCCATCCCCCAGGTCAGATCTAAGCAACATCACTCTTTATCTCTCTTCCATTAGATTCTTCAATCAAAGAGAATTTGTGCGGACTCTTATCACTTCAGCCTAATTTCCAGTCTTTGTTTACATCCAAACAACTCCAGTTTAAGCAGAAAAAATCGTGAAAAGGCATTTTCCCTCCGGCATTGAAAGTCAAAAACCTAGTCTTTTCAATACCTAGGGTTTCATACACTTAAGATCGATCCCTTCTTCAATAGCTATCGATTCGTATTTCTTTCCCTTGCTGGGATTAGATTAGATCTTCTTCGTGGCGTTCTTTTTGGGTTTCAGTTCATCTCACTCATCATAATGGCTACTTCCTACCCAGGACCCCGTTCAGGTTTTGTTTTTATATATAGATTTGTCGTGTTTTTTTCTTTTTGTTGGATCTACTGATGGTATTTTTAAATTTCAGGTTGGTTCATACTTTGTGGGACAATACTATCAGGTGCTACGACAACAACCTGATCTAGTTCATCAGTTTTACTCGGATGCCAGTAGCGTGATTCGGGTCGATGGAGATTCCTCTGAATCTGCTTCTTCAATGCTGGTACTATATTTTTTTCTTTGTTTATTGTATTTTGGAACGAATTTGCTTGAGCACGATACAGTCTTCTTTTTCAATTTACTAAATTTTGTTTGTTATGTTTTCTCTTTATATTATCTTATAAACGACATGTTATTTTGTACTAAATACTATTTCTTTGGTTGTATCTACCTTCAAGTTGACGCCTTTATGAAAACTACCTATTGAGCAAGAATAACCCAAGTTGGGGAGAAATATCATTTTGTTCCAGAAAAGCCAACTTATCATTTTAAGAGATGGCCTCTATATATTATCTTCAATTTAGATGTTACAAACAGATCCCTTCGAGTGATTATCACCTAATGAATGGATTAATGCAAATTCTCTTGCAAATTTGTGTTTTTGGAAATTTTTTATGAAGATAGTATTTTTTTAGATTTCTTTCTTATTTGAATAAGCTTATATTGTCTTTTTATTTTTCTGCACAATTGTTAATTTGAAATTTATTGGGTTATTTTTTTCATTATTATCTTTCTCCGCAGCAAATTCACACTTTGGCCATGTCTCTGAACTTTACTGCAATTGAGATCAAAACAATTAATTCTCTTGATTCTTGGAACGGAGGAGTTCTGGTGATGGTCTCTGGTTATGTTAAAATCAAGGATTTCAATGGCAGAAGGAAATTTGTGCAAACCTTTTTCCTGGCTCCCCAAGATAAGGGCTACTTTGTTCTTAATGATATCTTTCAGTTTGTTGATGATGGAATGGTTTATCAACATCCAGCTTCAACTGTAAAAGAAGACAAGCTTGATTCTAAGTTAAATGTATCAAGCCCTGTTGCAGAGCCACCAGGTAGGGCAGGCTTTTTCCTAACTTTGATCTGAATGCAGATAACTAGGATTCGGCCCTTGGACTGTGTCCCCTCAACTTAAATAATGACATTTTCTTTGCAAAATTTGAATCTTAAGTTGATTTCTTATTGCTTTATTATTTGACGGATTGAAACCTTAAGACATTTTTTCTTTTCTTTTCTTTTTGGTTAAATAAATTTCAGCATGTGAAGTTTTTACTTGGAACTTATTAATTTAGAAGCCCCCCCCCCTCTAGCATATCTTTGGTGTTTTATTGTTTTATATTTATGATGGTAGAAGTTTGATTTCTTAGTTTTTCCTCTAACTTGTTGGATTTAACAGTTTATGACTACGCTTTGGAGGAAGAGGTCAGTGAGTACATCAACTTGGTTCGTATAGAAGTTTTTCCAGTTGACAAATATAGTCTCCCAGACCAAGAAGATGTTGAAGATAAAGTTACAGTGGGGGAAGCTCCTGCAGAGGAAACTCTTGTTTTGCATCACAGTGTGGTGGACACCGTGCAAGAACCTCCAGCTATACCTTTGGATGAACCTGTTCAGGAGCCTCCAAGGAGAACTTATGCTTCTATTGTAAGTGCTTCTCTTGCCATTTCTGCAACGTTATGTTTAGCCTGGATTCATGAACCGTTTTATTGAATGTTTTTCCCTCACTGCCTGCTGTTCACTTTTTCAATCAGCTATCCTTTTATTTAAACAAGCCTATATTTATTTATCCTTAATGCAACCAACCTGTATCCCAGTGGCATTCATAACACTGGACCGTACGTTACTGAAGCAATTCTATGCATGTAATATATAAAGGATTAATTACTCAAGGAAAAGAGCATTGCATGTGAGTGAGAGAATAAAATTATGGGTACTTTCCCCGAGGTATCTAATGGGAGTGAAGTATGATAGGAATTCTCCCCTACAAACTCTGTTTCCAGCTGTTACCTACATACACTGATAAATGGTGTTTACCTTGTTGAAAGTTAAATAACTTTGGTTGACTAACATTATCTGTTTGTTACAAATGTTCTAGTTGAATGTTCCGAAGCAGCAATCTGCTTCATCTGTTCAAGTTCAACATTCTTACAACAAGACCCCCCCGAGCACCACAGATTGGGACCATACACCAGAGTCTACTAGCCAGCAGTCACGTCCTGCTTGGTCAGATGTGCCTGAATCTGCAGCAGAGACAAAAGTTGAGGAAGGCCTAATCTCTGAAGAAGGTTAGTCTAGCTATACCTACTATGGTATGGGGTTCTTTTTTATTTATTGGTATTTGCAATGCCATAGATTTTGGTTCCTTAGTGTGCTTTGGAGTTTATAAATTGCCCTTCTCTAGCCTTTTATTTGTTTTCTGAAAAATGACATTTCTCAAATGGATCATCTGGGTATGTGAGCCCTGACATAAAAGTATTTCTTTAACGGAGAGAATTAAGGTTTTTGAGGCTGAATGTTTTTGTATTTCCATTTTCAAAAAACTTTCCTAAATGTGTAGAGTTGAGAGTTTATTTTAATGCTGACTTTACTTGGAGTTATAATCCGATTATTGATGTTTCTCCTTTTAGGTGAATATACTGGTGAATATAAATCTGTATATGTGAGAAACTTGCCTTCTACTGTTACTGCTGCTGAAATTGAACAGGAGTTTAAGAATTTTGGAAAAATCAAGCCTGACGGTGTGTTTCTCCGTGTCCGCAAGGTAATTTCTTTTTCTTACCATTTTTTTTATCTTTGGTATATAGCCTTGAGGAAACTAAATTAGTGTTAGCTCTATGCAGGATGTTGTTGGTGTTTGCTATGCTTTTGTTGAGTTTGAAGACATCCTTGCTGTTCACAACGCAATCAAGGTATAACTTCATGTTTATGTTCTCTCTGTCAAGAAAATTTGTTGGATGTTAGCTATTAACTCCTTGTTGAATCATGTATTCTAACAACTTGTTTGACTTCTTGTGTTTCTGTAATGTTGAATTTATTCGAAAGAGATTTGAACTCTTTTAATATGGCACCCTTTTTTAAATTGAAATGACACCCTTGTAGTTGTTTGTATTTTTAGATCAATTTAGTTGCATCTATATGTGTGATGCCTTTTTTTTTTCTCATGATGGGTGAGGTGGAGATGAGTAGCATAGCTTTGAAAATGCTTCTTGATGAACTGCTGGAAGGTGGGGGTTTTGAGAGGGGAGGTGAAGGAAAACAACATGCTGTCCATTTTTAAAATCAACAATTGACTTATATCACCATCAACTGTTAAACCTTTAAACTTTTCAGTGCATGAAGAATTATTATGGTATTTGATGTAACCCCAAACCTTTTATAATTTTCCTTTGGCTTCTGTGTGTATATACATGTATTTGACCCAATAATGGCCGATTTTTGTTCTTCTATAGGCATCTCCTATACAGTTTGCAGGAAGGCAAGTCTACATAGAGGAGCGCAGACCAAATAGCAGCAGTACTCGAGGAGGAAGTATGTGCCTTTATACACACCCCTGTTATGTTTTATGCATGCCAGAATTTTCTTTTATATTTTTAAAATGATTTGATTATTGCCCATTTTGGGTATCTTTGGAAAATCCACATCATCTATGATTGCACTTTTTACTTCTTTGAGTTGCTAAAATCTTATGCTTCAGTTTACACGTTTCATTAAAATTTTGCATTTCTGAGATAATTCTTTGGGTGGATCTCCAAGGGAAATTGGCTGGTAAACAACGTCCAAGTCATCAAAATTATTACACTTGGTTTTGCATCTATTTATTTTGGAATGATTGATGCTTTCTATTAACACATGTAGTTTCGTTTGCATCAAGCTTTTAGTATTCTAGTCCTTACATAGCTTGATTTGCACACTGTTAGGCATGCTAGGCAGTTTTTTTATATGGGCATATCAAACTGTTCCACTTATGTTGTATATAACTTGTGCTCTATGGGCAACTTTATATAAAAAATGACAATCTTGAAGAACATCAACTACTGGTCAAGTATACATTTTCTTCACTTGAACTTTTCCAGGTGTATAATGGTACACTTGATTTACATTTATATGTTACTCTCTGATTTAAAATGGCATAACTAGTAAGTACTCTTTGAAAACCTTGTACAAGGCTTGCGTTGACATCACTGACTTTAAAATTGATCAGGAAGGGGAAGAGGCAGGGGCAGTTATCCACCTGAATCCTCAAGAGGTCGCATTGGTTCTCGAAGTTTGGGTAGGGGAAACGACCAAGAATCAGGTGACTACAGATCAAGAAGCAATGGTTTGTATCAGCGAGGTTCTAGATAAGAAAGAAGCCTAGTAAACCGACCGAATGCGAGTTGGCTGAACTTTTCTACTTGTGGCACATGACGGATTGGTGTTCTTGAGAGTCTTGATGGGTGATTGAGGTGTTAGCAGCAGCTCTCAGTGAAACTTCAGAAAAATATGCATCTACTTTTTTGTACGTGTTATTTCAGTTAAATGGAGTGTTGGGTTACAATTTTTAATTTTGGTTGATGGGTCATTCATGTTTCTCCCTTGAATGTTGTTATTTTGTTATGCAATACAAGTGGAGAAATTGTGTTTTTATGAGGTGTTTTATTATGACTGGTGAGGCAGTTCGATGATGGTTGATTTTATGGTTCTGAGATGGAAGCAATTTCAACTGAATTCCTCACAGTAGTGGTTATCATAGTACTACTATGATGAATGATCTAGTAATTGCCTAATACATTGAAAAGAACTCAGTGAAATGGTTCAAAGACCGTAGAAGGCCAAAAAAACAAAAAATGATCATTAGTTATCATTTCTTTTCTTGTATGAATTTGATAAGACGAACATTAAACGGACGATCTCAGCTACAAATACATTGAAAAGAATCAATGAAAAAATAGGTAGCCCAAAAGGAGAAAACAGTGTAAGAACTGTGTTTGGTGCAGAGATTATGTATATATGTTCTGGTTTTAAAAACAAGGCTAAGAGCCTGATATGCCTGGTGGGCAATATCTATAGTCGATACACAAGGCACTAACAAGGAACTCTTGTTTTTGCAATTGGGATACTGCATTTAAGCTTTTGCTCAACTTTTATATGCTGCTTCATCAACTTCGATTTATGATTGATCTCTCTGCTCGTTCTTCGAAGAATTTTTCACAGCTTCAGCAGATTCATCTTTCTGCTGCTCCTTCGGTTTTGAGAAGGGATCCCATTCATGAGATCCGACCTCTCGCTGTCCATCTAATAAGTCTACTTCCAACTGTTTTCTTCCACAAAGTTATCATATTCTGTCCAACCTTGGATAATGTTCTTCCTCTACTTAGTTACTTTATTGATCACTGCCTGTACAGCAACATCAAAAGCATCTCGAAGAGTCTCCAATTTAGACGGACGATCTGCATATATCTACCTTGGGATGAGATTTATGACTGCCTCTCTCATGATCTTCACTTGCTCGGGAGAAATTTGACGAAGCCACTCCTCAATGCTAACATTCCGTTTACGAATATCATCCTCCGGGAAGAACACTGAATATGTAATATACTTTTTCGGAAGGTGCCAAGTGTACTGTGTGTATGCCGAATTGGGATGGAAGGAGACAGGAATTCAACCAGCCAACATCGAGTCAAACGCAGATCGACAAGTGTACGAGTCTCCTTGAGGTTGTAAGCAGAACAGAGAGCTCTGGAACATCAGCATTATACTGCTCGATGAATGACGCTCTCCCCAAAATCACATTTCAACAACTTGCACATGTTGGATATGGAATGCCAAAATCATTTGCATTCCAGGGGCTTGATTCAACCACCAGCATCGACATATTCCTTACAGCAGGTAAAAACGGAAGCTTATTAGCCCAATCAGATTCCTCCTCAGTCAACCTCCTGAAATCCCATGTAATCCTCCCAGCCACCAGGAAATGATCCTTCCCTCCCGTTATACCCCACTCGGGCCTCTTCATCAGCCATTCAACAAAATCGAGTGAAGCCGCGTCCCGCCTCGAAATATTATATCCCCACAGATACCTTGTGATATCGAACTCTGAGTAAAAGGGCACAAACATCACAGCTGCAATAGATGAATCATTGGTCAAGCACTCATACTGCTTCATTCGATTATTGAATATCACATCGACCGCAAACTGATTCGTCGCATACCATCCGGTATTCTGGAACACCCCTTCCACATTTTCGAGTGGTGGACCGAGCCCTTCATTACTAGTAAACTTACACATGTTGGTCCAAAGGCTCAAACTCTTACACTCCTTAAGCATATCCTCATTGAACCTGGGAGGAAGATTATGCACATAAATATACCTTACCCACACGGATCACTCTTGTTTTCCACTGTTCTTAAAGCTCTCATAAAGGGTAAGCCACCACCGTTTCAGGAGCCGTATTCATAACGGGTTTCACCGGCGGTGGTTTCTCCTTCTCTTTACGGGCATAGGTCACCCGAGCAGCGAGAGAGTCGACATTAATGAGAGGAGAATCTAATTTGATTGGTTGTGATGGAACTGAGTCCTGGACTGTATTGCTCCTTCCTAGAACTACAAAATGGAAGTACAAAAGCAAAATCCAGAAGAAAGATGATAAAGAAGCTAAAAAACAGAGCCGGGTTCGTTGATTATTAGGGGAACCTTTCTCCATTGTTTCTAAGGGAGCCAACGCCACCTGACGGCGTCTCGTCAGAGTTCGATCACAAGCTGATCAACAGATCCCCCGAATACCAGACAAAAAAGCCAGCTTTGTAACTTGGAAAAAGAAGTAAATCTAAAAACCCTAAATTTGAAAATCTATTTTTAACAAAAAAAATTATTTAAAGTATAAAAAAAAGTTAATTTAAAAAATAATTTAGTCACTTACTTTTATATTAAATCTAAAAAAAGAAAGACTATAACTTTTTCAAGTGAATAAATTCTAAAATTCTATAACAAAAAGGAAAAATAAAATGAGGTTCAGAGTTGATATGGAGAGGGAATTATCTGCAAATGAGGAGGTAGAGAAATGGGGAGGATTCCATGATAGGGTGGCGGATCTTTTGGCTGGAGTTTACCCACGAAACTAACTGCAAAGGTTGAAGAGAAGAGTAGGATTTAAACAAGAAACGACTCGCTAAGGATTTTGTTTTCAGACTAAACTAAATATTTACTATCTAAGTAACTTAAAAAAAAACATTAATACAAAAATAAATGTCCGAATTATGTTTTAAAAAATATTTTGGTGTTTAAAGAATTTTTCATTAAAAATGTATCTAGTGTTTCAAATGTCACATTTTTAAAGTGTTCGAACGTTAATCGTCGTTAAATATCTATATTAAATGATGAGTCATATTTTGGTAATTTTGAATTTTTTTAAAAAAAATTAAAATTTAAAATATTTGTTTTGTAAAAAAGAAGAAGAAAAAACCCAGTAAAAACCCCCCATGTAGTAGCCCCTCTCCTTTTCCTTTCTCCTTCCAAAAGTCGTTGATTGGCCAGTGGTGACTAGGGGTGAGAATAGATCAGGCTGATCTATAGGATCTACATAAAACCTGGCTTGAATTTAGCTATTTAATAAAAAGGCTAGATTCAGGTTTTTTTAAAAAGCCTATTAAATTAAATAGACCAGACTTACGCTTATTAAAAAATCTTATAAACCTGATAGGGCGGCCTATATATATATATATATATACTTATATTATTTTTTTGGTACCAATATATATGTGTCATTTGCTCATTGCTTTGTTATATTGATTTCTTGAGAAAAATGAGGAGAGAATCCCCTTACAACCGTTTTGTTTTTTTAGTTCGAATCGGGGCCTCTTTTACATTTTTTGAATCGGTGTTAGAAAAATTGAAAATGCTGAGAAATTTTATTGATTTCTCCATGCGTTCGCCATTCAGTGATGCCAAAGCATGGGCAAGGGATGGGCGTTGTTTTTCGGGCATGGTGTGGTGTGGGGAACAGCAAAGTAAAGCAAAGCAAAGCAAATGCATGCGTTATTCCCAAGTCCCAACACCAAACATTTAGGAATTCTAAGACAAATAACACTTTTTAAATAAAAGTATAACATAGAAAGATGCAATTTACAAGGCAAAGAACATTTTTTTGACCGCAAACACCGACTCTTTTTTATAACTCGTAGTATTGCATTACATTACATATTATTTTAACTTATTAATCTTAGATTGTATTTATTATTTAATACTTATTTTTATTCACAAAATAATCGTATTTATTATCAAATCCTTATATAATCAAGTTAAAATCGTTCATGCAGACAAAATAATCGTATTTATTATTTAAATAACGTTACATTAAAAATTAAGCAGGCTTTTAAAAATGTTATCAGGTCAGGTCAGACTTTTAAAAAGACCAGGCCATCGAGCCAAAAATAAAAGTTTTTGATAGGCTACAGGCCAGGCTCAAGCCTAAAATATTCAACGTAGGTCAGACTCGGGCCTTTTAAAGCCTGGCCTAGCCTATTCTCACCCCTAGTGGTGACCGTCACAGTCATCATCACTGATGTCGATCTTCGATCAAACCCGTTGATCTTTTGTCGTAATATGCTACCGTTTGTCGTAGAGAAATATTCAAAGGTTCATAGGATTTTAAGCCGTCGTCGTCGTTCTTCGTCTATTCCGGTCAATTCCGACATCTATAAGTCACACCGTCGTCACCATTCGAACCACCATGCTATTCCGATCAAAACTCAACCGTTTGACAACGACAACGATGGCCGGAGATGTTTGACGACTGTTTGGATTAAGAAATTGAAATTGAGAATTTGGATTTAGGGTTTTTTTTTAATAATTTCAGTAAAAAGTTCATAAGCCGAGATGATGTTGTCCTTAATTTGCCTACCCGGAACAAAGCCACTATAGGCCTCATCGATACAAATGTGCAACAAATCCTGCATTCGGTTAACAAGCATCTTCGAAACTATTGTGAACAGCACATTACAAAGACTTATTGGACAAAATTGATATAACTTCAATAGAGATTGTACCTTTGGAATAAGCACAATATGCGTTGTATTTGCCAAACACGTATCTAAATTACCATTAATTAAATCAATACAAAATTCGGCTATTTCTTTCCCAAATATGTTCCAAAAACGCTGATAAAATGTTATGCTCCAAACACGTCATCAAAAGAGAATGCAACAGTGAGGCTAGTATTCATATCAGAAGAGATGCAACTGCAGTACCATCAAGAATTCGATTAGCCATAACCCTGTAATTTGACATAAATAGATTTTGGAAGTAAGTCCTTGCATGTTCCTTCATCCTTTTATCTTCAACAAACTGCTCACTATTCTTGTTCACCAGAGAATGGATATGGTTTTGACGCCTCCTTTGTGTAACAAACTGATGGAAGAAAGCAGTGTTATGATCTTCATTTTGAAGCCAGTTAGCGCGAGCCCTTAGCTCACAGTAGAGCTTCGATTTGTCTATTTCTAAGTTCAGTTGAAGTTGAACATCCGCAATGCCTCGAAGAATATCATCCGTCGGGGATAACTCACTAACCTCAGTAGCCTCTTCTTCAAATCAAACTCGGTCATTTTCTTTTCCCGTCTTACTTGTCGGACCTAATCTTCACACGACTC